GATATATATATTATATATATATATATATATAATAAAACATTATAAATATGTTTATGTACTTAGCCCAAAACTTTTGAGCAGTAGTGTAAATTTATATTATTTCATATTTAAATAATACGTTATATTAAAAAAAAAATATATTATATTTAAAAAATAATGTAAACATTTTTATTGTATATAGCATTGTATAAATGAATAGCATATATATAAGCAGACAACATTAAATATCTGCACAACTTCTTTGTTGTCTGTGTTTGATGACATGAAATTTATTTGACCAAACAAGATCAAGTGCAGTGAACTTCTACAGGTATCTCTTCTGCTCTGTTTGTTGGGAGCATACAACACAATGTATGGACCCTGAGACTCAGAACACAGATAAAAAAGGGACAGAAAAGCAAGACAGAGAGAGAGAAAACTCAAATGAAAAAGACTTACCCTGCTGAAAAAGACTTACATATGCTGTGCTCTGGATGCTGGCCCCAAGCATGGGATGCTGGGATGTCAGTGTGCCAACAGGCTTTTTACTACATTTAAGTTTGTCTGGTTGACGGCAAGTCTATGTTGGTCAGCAACAACAGACCAGCATAAAACAGCATGGAAATTCATGCTGGTCCTTTCAGCAGGGAAAAGTGCAAAAGAGAAGGAGTGTAACAAGTTGATCCCAGGTTTGTGTGATTGCTCCAATTTACAGCTCTGAGCTAGTTCACCCCACTAAAGCCCATTCTTCCCATACGTGCATGAGTGTACCTGATGTCTGCCCCCCAGTCTCATGGCTAGCTCCTGTTTGGTCCTGGTGTAACGTTCTCTCAGTCGTCGAACATCAGGGGAGAGCTACATGTATCATCACGGCAACAATGCAGGCCATGGGTGAGAGCGCAATAACATGGCAACATGGAGGAGAGGAAGGAATGAAGGGGTAAGCATAAAAGTGAGGGAAACGAAGTGATGAGTGCAAGGCAAAATCAGGATCAACCACAAAAGCATATGCAAGAGAAATGACTGGAATCAGGGGCATGGCTTAATTTTTAAGTCAAAGCAGTGTTGGATAGACAGAGGAAGATTAGATTATGACAAAACGTGCACCCTCGCTAATGTGAATCTCAGACAAGCACCTACTCATTTCCAAAACAAAGCCACAGGCTGCATCCAAAACGGAGGTAGGAAGGCATCACATCCAAATCCAATGTTTGTGAAACATGCTGTCGAATAATATGCTTCCATCTGATCTGTTTTCAAAGAATGAAACTAGGCTGCCTTCAGTGCCTCTGTTATCCCTGAATATTGTGTGTGCAGTTCCGCAATTAGATGATGGAACATTTGGAAAAAAAAAAAACTGGAAAACTATTTAAAACAAAAAAGAAGTTATATATTACCATGCATTTATTTAATCAAAAATACAGTAAAATGGTGAAGTATTATTACAGATTAAAGAAGGGCTATCAATAGATTAACATTTTTAATCAGATTAATCACACCCTTTTTGTACACACTTATGAAATGAAGCATACAAGATTTAGCTTGTTTAAGATGTTTGTTTTGTCATCATATCTATCATATCTATTGCTATATCCAGCAGAGATGTCTTTCCAAAAAAAGGACACTTGGAGACTCCAAAAGGACACCAAAGAACCAAATTATAAGTAGTCCAACTGATAAATTTATGCACAGATTAAAAATGTGTATACTAGTGAGGGACTGCCGCCTGGGCAAAGTGTTTTCCATACCAGTGTGACCTCATGAACGTGTAAGGGCAGATAACACAGTGCACACTGAATTCAAATTTGCAGCAATATAGAGCAGTGGAAAAGTGTGGCAGTTACACCCAGCGTTAGTAGAGATTAGGCAAGTGCTGGCCAACACTGCACTCTTGTGGTGGCAAAGCACACAGCAACCCTCCACAGACCATTAAAGTATCACAAGAACCCGCATCTCAAATAAATCATCAAACCACGTACCAATCAATCAGCCTGCAACCTTGGAGGGTTTAAATCTTTTTACGGCCCTTTGTGGTTTATCATTATGAGGAATGTGAAAATGTGTTAAAATAAATCAGATGTTTGTCGGGATATAATTATTGCAGTTGTGGGGAGTCTTGAATTACACACACACACGCACCTTGCTGCGGGTTGGCGCCCTGTCAGAGTCGGACTGCTCATCATAGCTTTCAAACTCACTTGAGCTCCAGCCATTATTGGGCCCTTGCAAGCCCTCCTCTTTCTGAATGTCCTCATAGATCAAGTCAGCTGACACACAAAGCAAAGCAGGTTTCAGTACAGTCCTGTAAATACCGAAGGACTACCAACAATGATGTGGCGATACAAATATAGCTATATAACACAAAGATGGGTGTTTCTTCAACCACAGGCACTTTAGCCCTTGTAGAATAAAAAAATCTATATATAATTTGATAGT